TCACTATACAAATTGTAGCCTACATAATAGGCATACTTAGACTTATACTAACTATTAAGCTAGGCATTGCACTGGGACAGATCTAATGACTAAGTTAATAGATCTAGATGTAACATTCGTTTTAAAAGTTAGGCCTAATAAATCTAAATCTAGAATTGATGAGGCAGGGTTATATCTAGATCTGGGTAGATTCAATACAAGGTGCTTTCAATTTATGCACCCAAATCTAAGGTCTAGCTTAGATGTATAAAGTTAAATTTCTGTCATTATTATTACATCTAGATCCAAACCTAAGACTAAAAAGATGGAAATGACAGGTCTAACATTAATGTTAGATCTAGATATACTAGCGACTTAATCTAGGAACTGTAATCTAGCACCACTAATTAGTTAGCCTATATTTAAGTTTTCTCAGTTTGAAATTATATGGGTTTATACATATATGTATATATATGTATCAATCTTTTTTAGGAAGATATCAACCAGATTTAGACACCTTATGGTCATTGGTTGTATAAGGTGATCAATCTGACCCAGAGGTCAAAGTCAGACAAAAAACAACTTTATTTATTTATTTAGTACTATGGTCTAATGAGTTATCTCAGGTTCTGGTGGTTTTGTAGATATCAAGCTGTTCATGGAGAGTATTGGTCACTTCAGTGTGGCTTAAGTCATTATATTACTGCTTTGTTGCCAGAATTAACAAAGTTTTTTTTAAATTTCCTCCATTTGTTTATCTCATATTTGAAATCATAGTTTGGTACAAATAGCATTTTAGATCTGGCTTTTATCGTCCACAAGTCACTACCAAGGGGTCTGCAGTTTACATGCCCCCCCCCCACGTGGCACAGCAGTATGTCTAGAAACTGGGTTTTGATACCCGTGGTGGACAGAGCACAGATAGCCCAATGTGTAGCTTTGTGCTTAATTACAAACAATTCATTATATCTAGTGGTTTCTAATCTTTGCCAACCTTTGACATTTAAACTGTAATTTTTATAAATGTCTTACCTATTTTTCTGCTGTTTTCTCACATTGCATTTTAAACTGATATTTTGTTTTGACTTCATAGTGGCTTATCATTAATTTGTGTTATTTCTTGTATCATAAGATAACATTATTTCATCACTGTATGCCCAACTTCAGCATGAGTTTGAAAAGAAGATGTGTGTGTCCAGTGTCTTTCAGAACTTATTTCCTATAGACTGTTTTACACAGTGTAAATCTGTCATGCTCCACATTCTTCTCTGAGACCTCTTGGTTCTTTTCTTGATTTTACCAGACATTTAGTAATGTAAGTGTGAGAAAGTAATTTCACACAGTGGTTTCTTCAACTGTCTGTTTTGTTGCCACAGGCATCCACAACATTCTGAGATGATCATGCAGAACTTAATTCTGTATTGCTGTCTTTTTTGCCTTAATGGAAGGATTTCCTCCTCCTCCTTTCCCAGAAGTGACAAGTGCCTCCTAACATCCTTCACTCCCTTGTCCATATGTATGGTGGTTCTGACATTTTACAATTGAAACTTAATTATACAAGTACTGTATAAACATTAAGGACTAATTGTTGGATAAGACAGTTGAGATAGGGTGTGAAAGCTTGTGACAAGACAGAAAAAATCTCATTGAGGTTGTCAAAATACAAGTTACACATGGAGGAAGCTAGAGAAATTGGTCAAACCTAGCGTATAAACAAATTTTGTAATCTTATTTTTATATTCAAAAAAGTATTAACTCTACAAGATAAGGAAGTAAGATATCCAAACTTCTTCTTTTTTAATAGTTAACTTATAACATAGACATTAATTGAATTATATCAGTGGAATAACTTATGGTAGATAACAAAAGTCAAGGGCTTGAATGAGAGACCAGGAAGTACAATCTATAATTTAATGCTACAGATATACAGTTTACTAATAAAACTGCCTTTCTTTGGCTATTATTACAGGTATATACAAGATTTTTAATGTAGTAGACTGAACAAACTGTATTAGCCCAGCTATTTTTTTCCTACTACAGTGACTACACAATGCATATATGATAGACTGCTGTTCCTACCTCATAAAAAGTAGTGTAACTTACTACAGCATATGTGATGCAGATGTAACATCTATGAGGAGGTTAAGCAGTCTGCATATATTAAACAGTAGTATTCCTGAGAATGTGATTAAATTCAGCATATATAAAACACAAAATCTCTGAATCATTATCCTATCTGTATGTACAACAAACCAAAACAACCACACTGCTGGCTGGAACACCTCTTCCTTGTTCTATCATATCTAGGGAAAAGAACACAGAGTTATAAATGGGATTTCCAAATCATCTTGTATCAGTAAAACTTTGCATTTAAAAATAGCTATTCTAATCACATAGATTAGAAAGTGTTGTAAATACAGTACTGAATAATTTGACATTTGAATTTACAAAGTAGCTAATGGAGTCACACATTTGTGTATCATGTTTAGGAAGGATTATCCAATTGCAGATGAACAGGCTACTAATCTTACAAAAATTTCAGTAACAATAGATATTTAATCACTTGAAATAAAAATAACAGGTAGCATTTAAAATATTTTGATAATTAAATATAGTTGGATTTTACACATCTACACACAATATAGGTGGGTGATTAGTGGATTTGACTGTCGATCTCATTAATTGATTATTCTCATATTGAAATAATCAAAAATAGTAATAATTGGAAATGCAGATTTTGATCAGTTGACAATAAACTTAACAACCTTTAATTAATTGAAAATAATAATTGTAAATCATAATGACAATACTTTGATTATTGGATAGTTGGAATAATGAAAAACAGTAATAATTGGAAGCACTAATTTTTATTAGTTGATTGTTTTCAATTTAATTATAATTTTGATAATTTTGTTATATTATGTAACACTAATCAATGCAGTTTGTTGCTCATTGGTAATCAATTGAGTTAATCACCTTAATCACCCAATCCTAACACACACACTTCATGCAAGAAAACTACACCTGCCCTGGTCTAGCATATATGGAATTTACAGTAGTCTGAACTCAAAATTTGGTGATCTTGAACATTGGGCTAGTGGGTTTTTACTTCCCTGTATCATTACTATTAATTTCTCAGTTGTTGTATAGATTATATAAGACTTATTATTGCAACAAGCCAGTGCTTAGATAACTGAGGGGAAAGATTATATTGGGTGTCATGTCTCATGCATAAATCCCTTTTGTTGAAATTTTTATAAACCAGTGATTTGTTATATGTATTTTCCACAATTAAGCTTCAAGATCTGCTGACTACAGCTTTTGATGACTTGATTGATGATGATCCAGAGGATGGTGAAGGAAGTGGGTTTTCAGATTACCATCCAGTTATTGATGAGAGTGCTGGGTGAGTCTTTAAAAGGTGGATAATTTATCCTTAAAATGCTGTGAGCTAGAACTAAAGATCAAGATCTGTCTTTATGGTATTGAAATTTTAGATTCTATAAGAACTTGATATTTGAATATGAACTAGTATAATTTTATGACTTATTTGTAAGCCTTACTCATGTAGTATTCCTGTACTGTATGTAAGGGAGATCTTGTGGATGCATTTTTGGCTGTTTTTTTTTCAACATATTCAGAGTGTTAACCCCTTAAACACAAGCAAATTAGATTACCATTTGCACGACTGGAGAAGGACATTTCTGTAACATAAATACTGTAACTCTGTGCATTCCTCACAAAACTTTATAAGACTTTGTTAAAGTTTATAAGTATTTTGTACACAGAGAATGACATTATTCTAATTATGTCTTTCTAATAAAAATACTATTTATCTATAGTACTCATTTGCTGTTATACTTGATGTTCTGATGTTGTTTTGGATGATTGAACTCTTGAATCTATTGTTTCACATTCTGGATCAGGAAGTTTAAGATCCTCTTCAGAAAGGAGCAGTAAAAATTGTTAACCATGCTTCTCCAGGTTGTTACTCCCATATCCTTGTGGTTCTGAAGAAATTATGAGATTGGAGATCTGTTATAGACTTGTATCAGCTCATATTTTCTTGATGATACCTAATTTTAAATTGGAAAACATGAGGTTGATATGAAACTTTCTCTTTCAAGACCAACCCATCATTTCTTTTAGCCATATAGGGGGTAGTTTATCAGTTCATTTCCCTTCCATTTGGCTAAATATCTTTTCTGAAATGAGGTCTTTACCTCACTCTATGCAATAGTTATTACTTTCATCTCTGCGTTTGAGATTTTGTGCATGCTATTAGTCTTGAGATACTTCCAACCAACGACATGTTATAATGTGAACTACATTAGTGTGTGATGTAATTGTCATGGGACAAAAGCCCTCCACTAATAGGAAATTGACACATCCTCCATGTGCTATAAATCCCTGTAAGCACTTGAACTGTATTCTTTTCCATGGCACTATCATTAATGGATGTGTTTATTGAAATTTTAACTTTGTTCAATTTAATGAAATTTCCACTGCTTTTATTCTAGTGTTAATTTTTGTTGATTTCATTTCATCTGGTTTCAAAATAACTTTCAAACTAAATTATCATTCAATTACTGCATAAAAAACTCATATGGTGAATAACTTTCACAAGAGTGAATTCTCCAGTGATGGTGATTACCATCTCCTCTTCAGATTCTAGCAATGTTGATAATAATATCTCTGCTTTTTCTTTGGCCATTTGAGGCTCCTCTTCTGTGATGGATGTTACTGCCATTGTGTAATTTGTCTTGGCTCCATTAATGCCTTCATTACCTCACCTATCTGTCCCTAAAGTGGAATTGCATTTCCCTCTCTCTGAACCCAAACACAAGAACATTGATTTTGATTGGTGATTACTGTCATCTGGATTTATAGTTGACTCCTTTTTTTGCTGTAGAAGACAGTGTTCCTTCTTCAAATCATTTTATGGTTTTGATTTCTCATGTTTGTTTTTTACTTTCTCTTATATTGATTATTTCTGTTATTTACCATATGACTTTCATGTTGAGGATTATTTGTTTTCTCTCCATTCTTCAGACATACATGTTTATGCTGATATGTTTCGGGATCAGCTTTGTCCACACTCTCAAATTCCATTTTCTTTTTGAACCTTAGGATTCCTTTGCTATGGCTGAAATCCTGCACTGTGATTCTGATAGTTTTTGTGGAGATCTGAGGTAGATACTTTTCAATACCATGGCCAAGGGTTTTGTCTTTTGTTCTATCCCTTCCTACTTGGTTCCTCTGTGGTTAGGACATGGTGCTCTTCTCTTTGCTGTTCATCTTCCCCATTCTTACCTCTGTGACCTTTGTCTGGCTCCTTTTCTTCACCCTGAAGTCTGTGGTGATGTTCCTAACACTATGAAGATTCAGGTTGAGGCTGACATTAGTCACCCCTTTTTCCCCTAACTTTTTGTCTTTCCTAACCTCGTGAGTCCAAATCTGTTACTCAAACCTGTGAACCACCCACCTCTCTCTCTTTCCATTTTTCGTCCCTCTATTAATTCTTGCTGTCACTCATTTTGAGTAGCAGTCACACATCACATTAGCAGATCACATGCAACCTTCAGGACCACAAAAGGAATATCCTGTCATGCCTACTCTTGGGGTGTCTGACAGGGAGGATGAGAATTTGGACAGCCTATTCCTCCTCCCCCCAAATATGTTTCCCTCACTCAGATATTGTAATCACTTTTTCTTGACAAAGCATTTATCACAGTTTTTTCTCATGAAGTGCTGTGGTTTGTTCCAGTATGGATTGGAATTTTCCTGTTGCCTTGTGGATTTCCGTATAATTATAATTTCTTTAAAAAAAACAACAACAAACACCTGATGTTTGCATTTATGAATTCCCGAATTACTCTTGCCGGCATGGTGATTAATTCGACTTCCCTTATAACTCATTTGTTATCTAGCATCTCTCTATGGTGGGGGGTTACTCTGAGTTGAGGCTGTCTTCTGTGTTTTGATCTGTTTGGAGATGGAGACATACATTCAGCCTAGGGGCATTTTCTCCTGGGGCCACTGAAATTGTTGTTTTTCTGACACTTTTCTTTCCTAAGTCAGCTTCTTACGAGTCTAGTTTGGATCACCCACCTCCTACTCCTTTTCTTCAATTATCCTCCTGTTTGTCTTCTTCCCATGGTCCCTTCACTCATTCAGTGTTGTGCCATTGTCTTCCATTCTCCTTCATCATCCTCAATCAGGGATGTGTTGTCTGTACTTTCCCACCATCTAGCTTCATGCATGGCTTTTGTCTGGTCCTTACCCAGACAATCAATATTGTCCAGACATGTTGCCTCATTGATTGCTCTTCCTGTATATCCTTTCTTTTTAGTGGTTTATCAGTGTAAACAATGTACTTTCAGCTGCCAGTCTCTCAGCTGGAGATATGATTTTTTACAACCTTTCCTTCCACAGTTGACTTCATTTTTCACTTGGCTCTTTAATATGGCCTGAGTTAGCCTCTGTCTTCTAATCTCCTGTGTTGTCTTTATTTCATTCATTTTTCCTTTCCTGTCCTCCCCACCCTGTGTCTCTCCCAGATAGGAATCTCAGTGTTCCCCCTTCATGCTTCTACTTGTCCTCCATTTGAACCTTTGTCTTTGTGTTCTCTGTATCAACTTTCCTTAACATTCTTATTCCTCATATTATTGGCTCGTAGCCAGCTGAGATCTGAGATAATTGCGATTGATGCTCGCCATATGCTGTTTCATAGTACCTGTGTTCTCCTCTTCCCTGACCATTTGTTTTTGCCCAAGACTTCTGCTGGTAGGAAGGGTAATTCCACTTTTCTCCCATTTCATTCTCCTCCATTTCCCACATTTATAACCAGCCTGATCCTGACTGCCTCTTGTGTCCAGTCTGGACCCTCTGGTGGTGTCTCTCTCTTGCACTGCTTCCTTCCATGGTTCCATTGAATCTTTCTGTGTCCCAGGATCTCTTTCCCATTACCCTTACAAGTTGGGTTTGTCAGTTAATTAGACTGGCATTTTTTGCCCTATTTTTCTGAGGAGTGTTGCCTTTTTAGGGTATATTTGGAAGTCATCATCAGTGCTGGTATGTGGATTACTCCTCATACCTTTGTTTTGCATTATTTACATCATATGGCTGTTTCTTGCTCAGTGGGTTTTCGTTTACTCCAGTTGCCATCTTACACACCACAGTGTCATTATGACTGGTGAGGACTTTTTTGTTCTTTCTTTATTTACAAGTACAATTTCAGTGCCACCAGATGTTGGTTGTGTGCCTCCATTCAATTATCATCTATGCCGAAACAGTTATGATGCAGGATTAAGTGAAGCACACCTTAGAGGTGGGGTGTTATGTAGGACTATTAGTAGTTCTCTCTAGTGGTCTTTTGCTTCATAAATATGTTCTTCCCAGACTGAACACTCATGAACATACATGAGTAAATCAGACAGGGATTGCTGCCCATTTCTGATGCTTCATGGCATTGAGCCTCTTCCTACTGTGCACCTTATGTACAATTCCAAATGCTGTTGAGTGTTGGTTGATTGACTCTGTCAATGTAGTAGCTCTGCTATTCAAAATAGGGTATCATAGTCACCTGTTGCACTGTTTCCAGTGATGCAGTCTTTCCTCTGGACTCTCCAACTCATTTTCCCTCCATTCTTCTAGTAGAGTGTGGGAGTCCTTGCCACCTGCCAGTTCCTAGTCACTGGTGTGGTGGACCATGGAGGTCTGTCCTCCTGAGTGATGCATCATACCACTCAGTTAGTATGGTGGTGGTGGCATTATGCGGGTGTAGATGTTGTAAAGCACTTATTACCATGGACCCGATGTACAATTCCAGATACCACCAGGTTTTATTTGTAGATTGATGCCATATTAATATATATATATATATATATAATTATGAAAGTTTGATTTTTCCCATTGTGGCATTTCTCCTTCCTGCTATTCTCTGGATAAACATTTCTGTTGGGTATGGTGTTGGTTGGCCCGGACATGATTAGTATCATGTGTAGATGGTGTGATGCCTTTCCTACTGTGGATCTGTTATACAATTCCAGATACTGCCAGGTTTTCGATGAAGCACTCCTCCATGTCATATATATACATATATATATATATATTGCAGTTTGCACCTAAGGCTGAGACATTCCTTCTACCTATCATCATCTGGATGTGATTTCTAGAGGGTCAGGTGTTGGTTAGAGATGGTCCAGTTAAGTAAGTCCTCACGTGTGTTCTGGCTAGTATCCCTCCTCCTACTGCAGACTGGGTGAAAATGCCCAAGGCTGTCAGGTTTTAAGTGGAGATGCATCCCAGGTTTGTAGACCCTCTTCCTATTGTCTGCTGAATGTCTGTTTCTGGAGTATCTGGTGTTGGTTGTAGGTGAATGTAGCACATGTATTCCTACTTGTGCACAATTGGTTATCTTCCTCCTACCATGGACTGGAAGAAACATACCCAATGCCACCATGTTTTGGACCACATCTCCCTACCATCTGCTGGATGTTGGTTTGTGGTGGATAAGGTGTTGGTTGGGTTGGAAATGTGTGCATGTGGGGACAGCTTTTGGTATGGAAGCACGTCTTCCTTACCAGTTCCCATTTTGAGATGAAGAGGTAGGTGATCCTCTACCTACCATGGATCTAAAATACCATTCCAGATGCTGGCAGGTATTGGATTAGATTGAACTACCACTATTGTCTGTTGTGCCCTAGCCACTCCACACCCAGGAGTCTCATTCATTGGTCGTATGTTTCCTTCATGTTCTTCTGCCTTTTATGTTCGTGACACAATCATAAAAGAGTGAAGAGTATAGCTGGATCAGATGTGCTGCGGTCTCCCAGTGTGGTGTGATGTTTTCTCTTTTGGTTCCATAACTCATAGTCTCTCTTTGGGTGTTTCCTGAAGGGTGATCATTTTCTCACTGGCCCTTCACCAGTTCAATGTGGGATTCTGACTATTTTATGAGAAGAGGTAAAATATAATGGAAGTTAACATTTTCCTACACTTAAAATGTATATCTGATGGATACTTACCTCCCCTCACATTTTCCATCCAGCCTCCCCACTTCGAGTGATATGTGGTGTAAGTCCTATAACTAATCTTGAAGTGATTAAAGAATGCAAATGTTGGGAGGGCACTGGTTACGATATTGGTTGTGTTTGGTTTCTATTGGTGGAGAGCTGCTGTATAATCATTTACATATGGATATGCAGAAGTGGAAGGCTAATGGTGAGCATCTGAAAGATCTGAAGGTGAATACTTAGTTCTTTTTCCATTCCCTAATATTACAGTTCATGCAATGAAGTTTACTGCTCATTTATGTGAAGGGACAGTTATGTCTTGTCTGCTATGTTTGTCAGAACAACATGCTTTAGCCTACTACTGCCAGGTGAAAGCATATTTAGACATTCAAAGAATAGATCTGCTCCTGGAAATGTAGGGTTACAGGACAGAGTCTGTGATCAACCTGGATAGATCACAATTTTCTAGGATTTGTCTAAATATGGTACTGAGATATTTATTATCCCTACACCTTTCTTCAGAAGCTTCTTAGTGATCACCACATCAATTTGGTGATGAGTTGGGATCATTGTTATCATCCACCTTTGTTTAATTGTCAGCTTTTGCACTTTCCCCCAGTCTCTTGGCTGGTATTTTGTTGGGATTTTTTTTTGGTAGAGATGCATTTTAGGAGGGCATTAGTCTATGTGCTGCCACACTCTGTTAGTTAAGTGAGGTCCCCTTTCTCCAACCATTGATTTTTGTGTGCATTTTAGAGTCTTTGGAATCAAGAGTTGATGTCACCCATTTGCATTCATCTCTGCTGTTGTTGGCTTTTCGACTTTTTCTCGGCTCCTACAGGGGATTTATAGTTCCGCCCCTATTCAAATATCCTAACATCAGCCTCTCAGTCCATTGGTATCCAGAATAGATTCTGCCTTTAATCACAACTTTCTTCTGTTTGGTCAGAATGCTGCAAGCAGTGGCGATGATTACGTATACCATTGGGGTCTGTGGGGGCTCAGCTTAGAGAATTGCTGGATGTGTGGAAAACCTTTATCATGGATTCATGAGTACTACAGTTCCTTTCATCAGGATTAATCATTCAATTCACACCTTCATGCCATTATTGCCCCAACCTGTAGTGTTTCCACCTCCTGCAGATCCTCAGATTTTGCAACTTCATTCCATGGTTATCAGAGATTTGTTGGTCAAGGGGGCAGTGGAGAGAGAGAGAGTCATTCCAGTTCTTCCAGGGTTTTATTCCCATCTGTTTGTTGTCCAAGGAGACAGGAGATTAGCATCCGGTCTCAATATTTCTCATCTAAATCAGTTCCTAGTTCCTCCAAAGTTATTATGGAGTCATTCCTCACTTTGCATTAGAATTTTTTGCCAGGACTATGAATGACCAAGTTCGATGCACAAGGGTCAGGTGCTGAAGTTCAGGGCTCTGCCCTTTGGACTAGCATAAACTCCATGTGTGTTCTGCTGCATTGTTAAAATTTTTTTCTCATCACCTCCATTCTCTGTACTTGTGCACACACCATTAAATGGATGACTGGCTACTGCTGGCACTATCTCATCAGTTGGTGGAATGTCACACCCAGATAGTTCTTTCCAAAGCAACCAAGGCAAGATTTCTTATGAGTGACAAGACATCTAATCTTACTCCAACACAATATATCGTCCATCTGAGTGTCTTTTTCAACACATATCTCATTTGGGATTGGCTGACTCCCATCCAACTCTTTTCCATTTAACAGGCAGTCTGACTCTTACTCTCATCTTCTTTTCTCACTGCACTGTTGGTTCTTTCTCTTTTAAGGATGTGGGCATCACTTGAGTCCCTCTTTCCTTTGGGAGGAGTGCACATGAGATCTCTTCAGTGGTCTCTATGTGACCAATAGATCATGAACAGTGATACACTGGATTCCCCAGTCTCCTTATTCAGGATCAACACATTTGATCTAGAGTGTTGGTTAGATTGGAACAATACTACGAGGATCCATTTCTGTGGCAAGTGTTGCCCAAGCAGGTGTGTTTTTATCAAATCAATTCCACATTAGCAACCAGTAATTCAATATACTTTATCTAGATTACAACATGCTCTGTAGAAATGAGGTGTTTCTTAAGATCACCTAGAGGCAGACCGGGTGGTATTACTATACTATGCTGGGCTGCTACTCATGGACTACCATGAGTAAAGCATAATGGGATCCTGCCCATCCCTCAAATCATTGGATTGAATAATTGGGGTAGGTTTGCTTTTAAAAATTCAGGGAACTTGGTTTACCTATTGAACTGTTTCCAGAGCATTGTTCCTCAGGGCACCCCAATATGGATTACCCCCAACCCCTCCCATATTCTACTAGTGGAGCTAAATAATCCTTATCACACTCGGTTTCCAGTAACTGGTGTGGTGGACAGAGGTTATTCCTCCAGAGGAATTGGGGTCCCTCCTACCCAGTTCAATGGATATATTTCCCAGATGTTGGTAGGAGAAGTGCTGGCCTATGCAGGAGCCTACTCGTTAATACTGGTTCACACTTGATGCACGGCTATCCTGTTGGGTTGAGTGTGGCCCTTCTTTTTGTTCAGTATTGGTTCAGTAAATTGTTCATGGAAGAGGATCCATTATAATTCCGATTGCAGAGTTGTCCCATTCTAGGTCCTTGGTTGAGCACAGTTTGTTCCATGTCCTCTTCATACTTCTGGTAACAAGTGGAATTTACCTTGCTCACATGGTTGGGGAGTGAGGATGAGTGTTCATAATTCTAGACTGGATGGATTCTGTTTTGTTAGGTTGAGTATAGCATACAGGATATTGTCATTTCAATTTTGGGGTGTTGTCTTTTGGACTTCTTCGGGTTGAGTTGGGGGTTTGTCTACTTCTGCGTTGCTTACCCTCTCATTGTAATTCCAATGGCTTGGAATGCATCACTCTATACTTACAGGTTGGAATACACTCATAAGTATATATATATATTGTGGTCCAAATGCTCTAGCCACCAACCTGAGATTTAGGGACCATAGCCTTTTAAGAATGTTTTGTAAGTTAAATTTTTTTTTAAATGAAAATGTATTTCTAATAATACCTCTTCTCCCACCCTTCCTCCCCACTAAGAGCCTGTGTTAGAGACTGCGGACTGGGGCAGTCTTGAAAAGTGGTAACATTATCTGAATGGGGTGCTTATATACAGTACCAGGATAGAGGGTGCATTGACATAGGTGGAGAATGTCATGAGATGATATCGCCAAGGGCAGTTAAGTGGGGAACAAAAAACTGGAGCAAGCAAGAAAAAAATTGGATCAGTGCTTAGATGGGTAAAGGAAGGAAACCTTGGCATTTGAGTAATAGTTGTAGTGTGAGCGGAAGTAACTATTCTTGGAAATACATATTTGATTTAAAAAATGTTAACTTTTATCATAACAAGAAAAACACTTTGCACCCAGAGCAGTCACTACTCTGACATTTTTATATATATGGACAAATTGTTAGTAGAAATGCTTAATTTAAAAATTATGTTTTTTTGTGAAAGAAAGACTTGTGGTGTTTATTAAAAGCTTGCAAAATTTTGTGGAGTTACAGTATGTATACCTTCATGGTTTCATGGTGTTGTGTACAATACAGAAGCCCATTGCCATAGGGTTAAGAAAGTTTTTAATAAGCTAAAACACTGGGAGTAAAATTTTCATAATGGTATGGACTGTGTAATAAAGATAGTGACAAGACTTAAAAGATCATTAACAGTATATATATATTTTTTTATAAATGCATCAGTTGTAATTTTTCTTAACAACTGAAGAAATAAAATTCAGGTGTTGTCTAACCTAGAAATGTGTTGAAAACTATTTTCTGGTTTTTGATAATTATAGAGTTGAATGTAATCAAATATATTATAAATTCATAGATATTACCACACATAGTTGCTGTAAAATATATTGTGTATATTTTTTGGAATTTTTTGCAATAATCATCATTATAACACTTACAATATTTTTTTTCTTTCTGTGTTAAGGTACCTTCAACCATCAGACAACCAGTGGCCATATAACATGAATCATGAGATATCACCACAGCACAGGGTAATAATAAAAGAATTAGTAACTTTTAGTCTGCAAGGATATTTCAAAACATTCTTGTCTTATCATACATTAAATAAGATGAATTAATACATGTATTTCAAAGCCACCCCAAACTTTTCTTGTTTTACCCTACTGCTTGACAGCTAACATGATAATTTAAGTGTGGCCATCTGATATTATGTTTAAAACAGAAACAGGAGATTGCCTGGTAGCTGAACATGATGATTATTCAAGGGTGCTGTCTAATTTTTCATGTTCAAAACAAAACCAGGAAACTGCCTGGTAGTTGAGCTTGATGATTCAGGATTGGCTGTTTGATTTTTCATCTTCAAAACAGAAACAGGATACTGGAAGGTAGCTGAACATGATGATTTAAGAGTGCTGCTTATTAATGTTTGTGATTTCTTTAGTAATAGAACTAGTTATTAATGTGTACATGTGTTTGTGATTTATGTAGTAATAGTACTACTTATTAATGTGTACACGTGCTGTTTGTGATTTGTTTAGTAATAGTACTACTTATTAATGTGTACACG